TTGGTTCAACATCCACAAGACCATAAATGTAATTAAATACACATCAAAAGATGTAAAAACAAGAACCACGTGATTATATCATTAGGTGCAGAAAAGGCTTTTAATAAAATCCAACATCCCTTCTTGTTAAAAACCCTTGAACACGTAGGCATAGAGGAAACATACCTCTCAACAGTAGTGCCATCTAAACCCACAGCGAGCATATTGCTAAACAGACAGAAACGAGAAATATTTCCCTTGAAAACCAGAACAAGACAAGGCTGTCCACTCTCACCTTTCTTGTCCAATACTGTATTGGAAGTCCTAGCTAGAGCAATTAGACAAGAGAAGGAAATCAGCATATCCAAATAGGAAAAGGGGAAGTTAAGTTATCCTTCTTAGCTGATGATATGATCCTATACCGCAAAAACCCAAGAGAATCTGTCAAAAACCTGCTTTCACTGATAAAGGACTTTGGCAAAGTCTTGGAGTACAAAATAAATGTGCAAAAGACATTTGCATTCTTATATACCAACAACAAGCAGGCCGAGAATCAAATAAAATGCACAATCTAATTCACAACAGCCACAAAAAAGAAGAAGAAAAAATACCATGGCATCTTCCTGACCAGAGAAGTGAAGTATCTTTATAATAAAAACTATAAAACATTGCTCAAAGAAATACAAGAAGACACAAATATATGGAAAAATATTCCATATTCATGGATAGGAAGAATCAACATTGTTAAGATGTCCATCCTACCAAAGGCAATCTACAGATTCAACTCAATACTCATTAAATTACCAGCATCATTCTTCTCAGACCTGGAAATGACAATACAGAAATTCATATGGAAACATAAATGACAACAAGTACCCAAAACAATCCTCAGCAAAAGAAACAAAGCAGGAGGCATTACACTTTCAGACTTCAAACTTTACTATAAGCCTATAATAATCAAAACAGTCTAGTATTGGTACAAGAATAGGTATATACACCAACAGAACAGGACTGAGATTCTGGATGCAAAATCTCAATTTCTCAACCAACTCATCTTTGACAAAGCCTACACCAACAACCACTGGGGAAAGGAGAACCTATTCGGTAAATGGTGCTGGAAAAACTGGCTGGCCACATGCAGAAGATTGAAATAGGACCTGTACCTATCACCATACACAAAAATTAACTCTAAATGGACAAAAGGCCTAAATGTAAAACTTCCAACTATAGGAATCTTAGAAAATGCAGGAGACACCCTTATGGAAACTGGCAACCAATTCCTATTCAGAATCCTAAAGGCCCATACCATAAGAAATAAGACAAGTGGAACCTCATCAAACTAATGGTTTCTACAAAGCAAAAGAAACCATCAAGTGAACAGGGAGACAACCCACAGAATGGGAAAAAATATTTGCCAACTGTATATCTGACAAAGACCTAATATCCCAGATCTACAAGGAACTCAAACGTGCCAAAAGGAAAAAAAACAACCCCACTAAAAAGTGGGTAAAAGACATGAAAAGGCACGTCTCAAAAGAAGATAGACAGGCAGCCAACAGAGACATGAAAAAGTGCTCAGCCTCACTCATCATCAGAGGAATGCAAATCAAAACCACACTGAGATACCACCTAACCCCTGTAAGAATGGTCATCATTAATAAAACAATCAACAACAGATGCTGGTGAGGATGCGGAGAAAAAGGAACGCTTCTACATTGCTGGTAGGAATGCAAACTAGTGCAACCTCTTTGGAAGACACTGTGGTGGTTTCTGAAAGAACTAGAAACTGACCTTCCATATGACCCAGCAATCCCCCTACTGGGAATATACCTAGAGGAACTCAGATCATTCTACAAAAAAGATACCTGTGCATGCATGTTTATTGCAGCACTATTCACAATAGCAAAAATATGGACCCAACTGTGCTGCCCATCAAAACAGAACTGGATTTTAAAAATATGGCACATATACACAATGGAATATTACACAGCCAAAAAGAAGGACAAACATATGGACGTCACAGCAATTTGGACGGATTTAGAGTCTACCATACTCAGTGATCTATCACAGAAGCAAAGAACCAAGTACCACACGTTCTCATTCATAAGCGGACCCTGAACATTTACCATAATACTACAAGAAAGGGATTAGCACTAGCCAGGGGACACAACATGAATAAGGGGGCCTGATTGCAAACCAGGCCAAGTTGGGACCAAACTTTACCTATGCGATGACCACTTGTCGACATAATTCTGAACTGTGCCCCACATCTTTAAAATAAAAAGTAAAAATAAAAAATGAAATAATATTTCCTTGGCCTTGTCCACTGATTCTTGCCACTGGCACCAAGATATGAACCAGAGCTCTTCAACTACGGAGCTAGCCTCGGTCTGCCGTGCAGTGGAGGAAGAGAGGAGAAAAAGCCTTTTTCATGCTGGTCTTTTTTTGGAGCTATCTTCTCAGAAGCTGTTCCTTCCAAGTTTTCTTCATGTTTTTAAGCACTCTGCAGTATAAATTTTCAAGCCATCTTTATCTGAACGTATTGAGTGTCTCCTTGAGTGATCTACTGTATTGATTGACAGTTTTCTACCAGCAAAGTCACACCCTCCGGAGTTTCTACCTGGCATCAGAAGTAGACCGTGCAAGGCCAGGCACACTGATGGGCTGAGTGACTACGGGAATGAGAAGTTACTCAATGTTTCTTACTCTCTAGGTGCTCAATAAATTGGTGCTTAACGAACGAAAGCACGGTATAGGCCACACTCCAGTCTGGAGTAGGGTAGCAAAAGTGCTATGCTTGAGTCTCATTCATTCATTCATTCACTCGGCAACATTTACCATTTCCTCTGTGCTACTCGCTGCTTTAGAGACTTGCTATAAAGATGAATGAAGGAGGTCCCTGACTTCTGGGAACTCACCAATCCTCACTGTGTGACTCAGTAGCTGAAGCCACAAGCATACATCAAGCTCAGTCTCTTAGCTGCCTTATTTGTTAAATGGGGATAGAACTTTCTTTCTGGACTGTTAAAAGAATTCAGAAGGATAATGGATATAAAGATGCTTTGTAAAACTGAAAAGCAGTTTTAGAAATATCACATAATTCCTTACTTTCTCCCATTTAAAGAGGTCCTGGGAGAACAGAGAACTTAGTCTACAAACAAACAAACAAACAAACAAAAAACTCCCTTAAATATGTCAAACCTGTTATTAGAATGGCAAGAAAAAATAAAATAAAACAAGAGAAAGCATAACACTCCTCATATTTACTGCTCATGAGTATATACCACAGTCATCTCTGATATTTTTAGCAGCTGATTAAAAAATAACCATCTTAGACATAGAGAACAGTTCCCAGAAGAGGGTACCACCTAGCAACAAAAACATTCCGTTTCTTGGTTATTGAGTTCATGTTACACCTTACATTTATTTTAGAATATTTTTAGCTAATGTCCTTCCTTCTTTGCTCTCCTGGTTTGCTGAATGTTAAAAGAGAGAACATGATTTCCTGGCATTTCTAAAAAAAGAAAAAAAAAGAAAAAGTTCAGAAGACTTACATAAGTCCACAAAACAAAAACCGAAAAACCCTGTGACCGGCACCTACTTAGGCTGCTCAGTGTGTTGTGGGAATGAGGATGGGCCCCGGGGGCAGAGCACTGAGAACCCTGGCTGCTGTGCACTGGTAACATAACTTAACCTCTCTGAGTGCTCCACATTTGCCTTCTCATCAATTCCACAGGAACAATAATGGCAGTGACAACTGAGATTAGGCATTTAATTTAGTGACCAGCTCAAAATAAATCCTTCATAAATGCTAGCTATTCTCTTTGCATTACTCATTTAATGACGATGCATTTCTAATCCTATAGCAGGGATTTTTGTGTATTCACTTGACTGCCACTTGATCTTGGAGCAGTAAGTTTTAGGACTCAGAAGAACATCAGGTGACCACTCCAGCACTGGGCATGGGGCATAGAAGTTTTCGTCATACCTGTCTTCTCAGTGACCTCTCACTGAACAGGCCCCACTTGGGCCACATGCTTTCCTTTCTAATGTTCACAATCACGACAGGCAGGAGAAATGCTAGTGAAATAGAGAGCAATGTACGCTCCTGGCAAGCGAATGGCAGACATTCACTTCACTTGGCTCTGGAGGCCTTTTGCAGGTGCTGTCAAAAGCTCCAAAGTTTTTTTTCACACAGAGTGCAAATGACCACATGGAAATTATTAAAGGGTAATAATATGTTTGTGGCTGCTTGTGTGTGGTAGTGTCCAGAAGGAACAGAAACACACAATGTGTGCTCTCTGATAGTGTCAACAGCAAACTCAGGTGTGTCAGTGAGGGGCCCCAGGTTTCCACAGGAGTAACTTCTAGCATTTTCTGATGAGAAGGGTAAAAGGTAAAAGTAATAGTGACAAATAAATAAAAGACAGATATATGTGTGTTTGTGTATGTGTGTGCATGCACACGTGTGCATGCGTAAATGCTCTATTTATACTGTAAGAATTACACTCAAAATTATTTTAGCCATTTACTGTCTTCCTCCTGGCCAAATGAGGAAGATTTGCCTTAGATTTCTTAACACACAATCATGCTACCCAAATGAGGGTGGTTCCCCCAACTTTTGGCCTCATCTAACAATCTACCAGAAGAAGAAGTACTTAGAAACAAGCACTTAGTATTTTCAGAGAATTTTGCCTTGGGTATGGCTTTACAGAAGGCATTGACTACTACCTATGGAAAAATAAAGGCGGCTTTGGAAGCAATATAACTCAAGCAAAGCAATGGAAACCTATGGTGTGTCTAGGAATTATTTTCTGGTAGCAATAAACACGTGATCTAATTAATGAAAAGTGTCATGTTTCAGTTTAGGAAAAGCCTGGTGAGCAGAAAACTTATCCCAGACTTCTAGCTTCCCAAAGAGACAAAGAAACAGGAGACACTTGGAAAGCAATTTTCTCTTGGATGCCATTTTCCCAAAGTGACGGTGATGAAAGAGGAGCCTCCCCACAAAAGACCCTTACCTGTAAATCCCGATGAGCAGACACAACTGTACCGATTAATGCCATCCATGCAGACTCCATGGACACAGGGGTTACTTGCACAGTCATCAAAGTTAATTTCACAGTTAACCCCTGCAAGAGAAAACCAGAGAAACACTCAACATTACCACAGAATAACAAGGCTTTCTGCTTGTGATTGTGTGTTAAGAAATCTAAGGCAAATCCAGTCAACCCTCGACAGGATAAATTAGCAGTTCTCCAACTGTAGTCCACAGCCTCTTTCAGGGGGGTGTTTAGGTCCAAAGGTCTTTATTAATCATGTGCAGCTATGATTTTTCCCTTTTCACTGTGGTGACAATCACACGGATAGTGCAAAGACAACAGTGTAAAGCTGGTGGCATCAGCATGAATCAGGGCAGTGGCAGCAAGCTGTACTGGCAGTCAATCTATTCCTTACCACATGCCCATGGTGAAGCAAACAAGCAAAAACGCCAGTGTCACTCAAGGATGGAACTGGTGAATCAGTTAAAATGATTAACTTGACAATTTTATTAAATCTGGAATCTTGAATAGTTGCCTACTACTCCATGTGATGAAATGACAAGTACACGTTAAGCATCTCTGTGGCATGCCAGGTATGAGAATTGTCTCCAGGAAAAGCAATCCTGCTTTTGAGCTTTGAACTGACATAGCTGCTTTCTTCATGGAACCTCATTTTAATTGAAAAAGCAAATGACAAGACATCCCAGGGTTAATGAGAATTGAGTATTTGGCAAATATTAAGTGAAAAGAATAAACCTGATATTTTGAGGAAAGCACATGAAGTATTTCGTGCCAAAGATAAAATTTGAGCTTTCAAAAAAAAAAAAAAATTAGAATTTTGGAACTGGTATCCATCACTGTAAGCTTGACACTGACTGTTGGTGTTATGGACTAAAGTTCAGGATAAATCTTAAAAGAGTCTGGCAACTTCCTCCTAAGGTAAGCTGTCTTATTCCTGTTCTATTACCCAGACTAATGGAAGAGATTGCCCATTTTAACAAAAGTACAGTTGTGAAAATGGATAACTAAAAGTAGGGGTTATCAATCATTATTATTAATATTATTTATAAAAATTCTCATATTTTACTATTTTATATGAATTTAGCGATGCTTTCTGAGTATCACAGACTATGTTGATAGTTGAAAAAGACTAAAAACAAAACCTGGTAATAAAGATAAATGATAACAAAATATCCGGGATAAAATGCCAAGCTTGTGATTCACTCACAGTTTGTATTAACGTTTACTAATCACAATTACAAGAGGAATAACTTGCTGAGCTATTATGAAGTACAGATCACTCTACCTCCTGCTTTATATAAGTTTTCTCAAATTCTCTCATCCAATCTGTGCATCAGGCCGTGTTACCCTCCTTTTAAGTAGATGACAAAGTTGGCCTGCACAGTAGCACAGTTAGAGCAGGACAGCTGTCTCTCTGGCTCCACAGCTCCATACTCTTGCCACCAGGCCATACTGTCCTATGCTTGGTGAGGCTATACCGCCTCGCTTGCCATAAATGACGAAAGGATCTCTGTGTTCCTCACAGACAAGTGGATACCTTTAGGAGATATTTCTAGCTCTTGGCTGACAGTCCCCTTTACCCTCAGTCCACGAAGGCAGCCCTCTACCCCATGAAGCCCTGGTGATCCAATGTGACTCCAACCCCCTGTGATGGTTTATTTGAGCAGGAACAGACACCTGGATCAAGCTGGACCAATGAGATTCTCTCACTGCAGTGTTGAAATGTGAACTGTGTAACCCCTGATCTACAAACTATTCTGCTTCCTGCTATTTTCTCCAAAGCCTTATTATTCAACTGCTTGGAATCTGTAAGAGGCTTCTGGATGCTTTCACTAAATTCTTTGTTTCTTTGTTTTGCTGTTATTTGTTTGCAAATAATTCCTTAAGCGAGCTCAAGTTGGCTTCTGTTACTTGAAACCCAAAGAAATTTAGTTAAGACAGTTTGCCATCATAAAAGCGCAGATGAGAGAAGACACTGGAAGTGACTCTAGGTAGTATATCTCACTTACCCAGTGAGTGAATACCACAGTTTTAGCTAGCAAATTGTGAAATCTCCCATCCATCCATACCCTTATCCAAACACCAAACTACCAACTAGACCATATTATAAATGAATAAGGAATTCTTACTCTAGAACTTGGAGAGTCTATTCATAATGCCTCAGTTAAGGGACTTTCCACCCAGGTCACTGTTACATGCCAGCTCTTTCTCCATCCATTACAGGCCAACATTTATGTTGTCTGTATCTCTTGCTTTAATTCCCAAAACAGGAATGTTTTCAGCAGGTTCTGGGAGATTTGGGGCCTTCCTTTCCACACTGCCTGCAGACCCCTCACATTGACTCCTTGCCTTCTCAGTGACAGCTACTTAGACCATGCCTTCTCTTTCCTCCACAGAAAATACACCTGATACATCCTGTTATAATGATATAATCCCAGAGAAAACAAAGTGCTTGCCAACCCATCATGCACCTGGGTCTCCAGTATGTTTGTTATGATAAGAATGATAGCAAAACCTAAAACAGCCCCTCTGTTCTAAAAACATCCATTCAAGTGCTTGTAAATCTCTCAAATTTCTTTTCACACTGCAAATTCTCATGTCTGGGGAACAGCAGGGAAGCAAACCGCATTTGGAAGTTTTTCACAAAGATCTATTCAGCCCTTTTAGAGAGTTATCTAAATGTGGGGGGTGGGAGACATTTTCAGCTGTGATGGCATGGGATGTTTTTCGTATGTTCAAGCAATTAAAAAAGGACTTTGTTTTCAAACTTGGCATGTGTGAGGCCCTGGATGAAGACCAGGGCTTTGACAGGTTGAAGAAATGCATTTGGAAATAACAACAACAACAACAATGAGGGCAGCTAACTACCTTCCCCACCTCTGCCCCCTTCATAGGTCATTTTCCTTAAGTCCAGACTGAGTTTTCAACAAATCGCTCTCGTTTATTGGCAGGTTCCCTCTAAAGAAGGAACACATTGGTTAATCGTCCACTAAAACATTTTCCTTTGATCGAGGACATAGTGCTTCTCTGTCCATTAACCAGAGTTGTGAGCAAACTCATTCATCTAACAATTAAAACAGAATCCACTGAAACCTGGGAGAACCTGCTGCCTGAGAAAGTCGTTCAAAGTCCCCCCAACATGGAACAACATGCCCTCACAACTAATAGGCAGTCATTCAACCAGGGTCAGGGAACAGCAGTGAACTCTGAGGACAGGAAATGGTGGTTTCGCATTCTACTGTACAATTACTGTATTGTGCTGCAAGGTATTTCCTTTCCCTTAGAATCTCTCCCAAGACGCCTAAGGCCCCATCAGGAACAGGCGGCAGCAGAAAAGTGTTACACTGAGATTGAACTGTGGAAGAGAAAAGAGACAAAGAAGGAAGGGAGGCAGAGAGACAGGAGGGAAGAGGCACAGGGAGGGAGGGAGGGCGGGAAGGAGGAAAAAAGGGATAAGGGAGGGAGGGAGCCAGGGAGGGTGTCTGTACAGATGGAGGGACGAAATTAACTAACCTCGGTAAGATGGGAAATTAAAGAAAAACAAAATCAAATCAAGTCACAAAGGTGAGAGGGTTTTCAATTTTAAATAATAATTTCAACGTTTGAAGTGACGTGCGTCCATTCAACCAAAACCGCATATACACAAACTCATCAGCTTTACAAAATTATCCACTGCGAGGGCCAACTGCCTTTCAGATATTTATGGTGGTGCCTTTGGCTGTGCCTCTCAAATCAGGGCCCTTTTTTAGGCATCTGAGCATGTGCCAACAGTCTGAAACGTCTGTGTAACCTGGTTTGAGAAACAGAGAAAACCCCGAGCCAAACATCGGCAGAGTGGGCTTACCTGATGTGCCTGGCTGGCAGTTGCACTGGTAGCCATTGACCAGGTCAATGCAGCGACCATCGTGCAGGCAAGGGCTGCTATAGCATTCATCAATCTGGTCACTGCAGATGGCACCCATGTACCCAGGATTGCAGATGCAGGTGTAGGAATCAATACCATCTTGGCACTGGCCATGGTGGCAAGGATCAGGGTCACAGTTGTCGATGTTCTCCTCACACAACACACCAGTGAAACCTTTGGAAGCAATGTTACCAAGTTTCAAAAACCAAGGCAGATCTGACTACAAGCATAGCTACATCCATACACCCAACACACTCCATGTGTGGTCAAATAAAAGTGTTGGTCTTGAGCAATGGAAATTATTTGCATTGTTTCTATTCTTGCAAGCCTGGAGAGTTGTAGTTAAAGATTTCCAAATCAAATTTTAGAACTGAAATACCTTTGTAACAAATCGATAGTGGAGAGATCTTTTAATGGCATCTTCATTTCTGGTTGGGCTTTGGGTTGAAATACCTCAAAGCATTTTTCTTTATATTTATTTCTATACTTTAAATATATTTATTTCTATTTCTATAATCCTTTCCTCTCAAGCTTAATATACAGGCTAATGGTTTCATGTGTCTTAACTTCCCAAGTCTAACTTTGGAGGACAGAGAACCTTTTTTATTTCCCTCACTCCCTTCATGATACTATGCATATATACATAGTAGTTTTTAATAAATACTTCTTTTTAAATGAATAAACCAGTTGTGAGCATTTGAAAGAAAAGGAGACAAGAGTTCCTTTCTTCAAGGCTTAAATAGACTAACATTACATCTTTTCCTAAAAGGCTCCAGTTGGCCTCTCTTTCCTTTTAAACATGAGTTACAGATTTCTAATCTCTTTCTAATGAAGCTCAATCCTCTGTAAAAATAAACTGGCCAGGAGAAGACAAAGCATAGAATAGTTGTCTCCAACAAACAACAACTATTTGTAAAAAGAAAAGGAAGCTCAACGGCTAATCTGAGTTGGTCTAATCTAAGTAGGTCTAATAATAGAATGTTAACTTTCTGTACTGATTTTTATGACTAAATTTGTTTTTCTGTGTTCAGAAAGAAATCACATGCCTGATGTCTATAATCCTCTAAAAATTCATTTTCTAAAATAAGATGTCTCAAATTATAATGACAATCTTTTTCTCAAATAGATAACAAAGAAGTTCACCTTATAATAATTTCTAGCCCTTCTCTACAATATTGGTTGATGTAGAAGGAAATGCATAATGGGAAATGTTTGGTTTATTAAAATGCACTCCCAAGTGAGAACTGTACACCCAGAAATGTAGAATGTTTGTGAATAGAACCTTTTTGAATCTAGTAGCAGATGACAACTAAGACAGCCCAAACTCTCCCAGTTAGAGCTTTCTCTCCTGTCATTTACACACCTGACTCTCAATAGCATTAAAGGCACCTTTTATGCAAAACCTCTGCACTTGCACACATTCAACCCTTAAATATCTGGGCCTTTTCTTAGTGACTGTTACAAGGAACACAGAGGCAGGCCTCCTGTTGAGAAGCTCCAGTGAAAAATAGCTTTTAACTGGAATTCTTCTCTTTGCTAAAGGAGTAAATCAAGCCAGCTGGAAACTCGTTGCTGCCAAAATCTGTCCCAGAAAGACACAGACACAAAATGGAAAAATCCAGGCCAGGCCACTGTTGTGGCTAAAGGAGGCAGGTGTTGCCGAAAGAAACAATAAGAGCGGCAAAAAATCTGCTGGAAGAAAGGAGCTTTCAGTAAACACACAGTAGCTCCTGAGAGTGAACTGGCCTGGGAGAGCACCTAGCAGAAGACAGGAATAGTTACTTTCTTGTGTTCACATGGACCCATTAGGAGGATGAAAAGTAAGAAGAGGCCAGGCACAGTGGCTCAAGCCTATAATTCCAGCACTTCGGGAGGCCGAGGTGAGAGGATTACCTGAGCCCAGGGGTTCGAGGCCAGCCTGGGCAGCTTGGTGAGACCTTGTCTCTACAATATATCCAAAAATTAGCCGGGCGTGGTAGAGTGCACCTGTAGTTCTGGCTACTTGGAAGGCAGAGGTGGAAGGATCGTCTGAGCCCAGCGGGTTGATGCTGGGGTGGCTGTGAGTGTACCACTGCACTCCAGCCTGGGGGACAGAGTGAGACGCTAACTTTTAAAAAAAAAAGGAGAGTAAGAAGAATCTTACCTGTGGCACATTGGCATTCATAGCCATTTGGATGATCAATACACTTTGCCCCATTCAGACACGGAGTACTGGAACAGTCATCAATATCAATCTGACAAACTGGCCCGGTAAAACCTTTAAAAAACACAGCGATGATACAAGTCAAAGATTTTTCTGTGTCGTCCTTTATCATGAGAATGAAGTCAAAGGAGGTATAAGTTAGGTCACTGGTGGAGTTGTGCCAGTGTGTCAACAAGCATAGATCTTGTCTCCCCAACAGGTAACTGGAATAACTGGACGCTCAAGGCATCAGAGGCATTTGTGGTGTGTCTCCACCCCGGTTTCTTCACAGCACAGATTTCACTTCTAAATGAAGCAAGGAGGAACTGAAATGCTATAGGCAGAACCCCCCAACAAGTAACTGCAGCTTCAGAGGCCAACAGAAACCTTTCCTCTGAAGAAACAGTGGGAGCGGCTATCATCTACAGCAGACAGTTTGGCATATCTTCAGCAACAGCTTGGGGAGTAAAAGGAGAGACAGAGGATCTCAGAAAAAATGGATGTGTTCTGTTTCTGAACTCATGGGGTGAAATGTCTAAAAATAATAATTTCACAGAGGGCCTTTCAAGAATATGACCCACAGGGGGAAAAAAAGGAGAAAACCCCGAATGGCCCAACTAAGGCTTCTGTGAGGTAGGAGCCTTCTGAAAGATATACACAGACAGAGAGGTCATGGGCCATTCGAGAACAGACTTGGACTTCTGGTCACACAGGATTTGGAAGAGATGCTAGCGAAAACAAATTCCCATTTGTGTACACACACACTCCTATCGCCAAGCACTCACTTTAATGACTTCCTCATGCACAGCCCACACACGTCCTCTCCCTCCTCCCTTCCCTGTGGTCGGTCAGCTTTGTGCTCTCACAGAGAACAGCAGCGGGTAGTGGGCACTTACCCGGTGGACACAGACACTGGAAGCGGTTAACTTTATCCACACACTGTCCGTTGTTCACACAAGGGTTGCTCTGACATTCATTTATCTCCAATTCACAATACACACCTTTGAAACCTGAACAAAATGGACCACACAAGTGGCTTAGAAGGAAAGAAAGCCACGTTTCGGCTAAGAAAGCACACATTTGCAAAAAGTGCTACATCCTCTGTGAGCATGAACATTTCTGCAAAGAAAAAAGGGACACTGCCATGATGGGAACTACTCACTCCAAGCCCTGGCAAGACAGGGAATACTGTGAGGTGTCCACGTCACTGTGAAGCGGGGGAAGAAGTTACCCCCAAAGACTGGTTAAGGCCCAGCATGTCAACAAGAACTGCTCTGCATTTTCCATGATCTATCCATACTTTTTATATCATGCCAGGCCTACAGTGTCCCCCCTCTGTGTTCCTAAAGACCAGCTGAACTCAAGCTGTTGGTGACCTCCGAGTGCAAGTCAAGGTCAGGAAGGCCTTCCAAGGCTAGAGTGGCTGGCATCCTTAATCAGGCAGAGCAACCAGCATTGGGCATTTCAAGCTGGATCTGGCTGTATCCTCTAAGGATGCAAGACATGGTCTCTCCAGAAGAACTCCAAAATACAGCTAAGCATATGCCTCACTTTTATAAATGGCAAGCTGCTATCTAGTTATGGGTAAAATTTATTTCTATAAATGGAATGGCTGGTATTTGTAATATATCAGGTTGAAGGAAAAATTCCTATTTAAAGGATTTTTATAGTAAATCATTTCTGAAATTTCCTATTATATGCATCTAGATTTTGACACAATAGGCTTGTTTAATTTGATCTACATGGCTCTAAGACTCCTAGCACTGCTTTACTCTTCAAGAAAGGGGTTTGTCTGATAATCCTGACTTTCTCTAGTCCCCAGTCAGCATAGGGAATTAAATGCTTTCAGAGCTCACAGGATTATTACAGTGCACTGAGTACTCCAGTAAGAGAAGAGCAGTGCAGTTCCTCCTCTCTAGACTCCACATCCTGATAGGCCCACTCACCCGGCATGCACAGACATGTGAAGCCTCCAATCTTATCCAGACAGGTGGCATCATTCTGGCAGGGGTCTGAGTGGCACTCATTGATGTCCATCTCACAACGAGGTCCTCCATAGCCATTCAGACATTCGCAGTAGAAGTCACCATCTGTGTTCACACATTTTCCTGCATGCTCACAAGGATTGCTATTGGCTGGAAGACACAAGCACCAACTACTGAGATCAAAGCACTTGAAAGAGTTTCTACAAATGTGGTCCACAGAAGAGTATCTGATGGTTACAACATCAAGACCAGGACTTCAACAATCTCACTCTCAATTTTCTATTTTATTCCTTAAATTAAAAAAAGAAATAAGACTTATCTCAACTCTTGTGCATTTCTGCTATTTCAGTTTCTGTCCAACTGTCATTGAGGTAGGGCTTCAACATTAAGAATCTAGTACAGACTTTTCATATAGTTAATTCCCAGAATAGTTACGGTTATGCTGAAAGGGATACTTGAAAACATTGGGCATGCAACAGTAGAAATCTGAGGTTTGGGTGTAACATACCTCTGGAGTAAAATGTGCTCCAGTTTAAACATTGGTTGAGCTCGATAAACACTCCAAGGAATAGGGACAGTTCTGCAAACTCACCCAGGGCACACTCATCCACATCTTCTGTGCAGTCAGCCCCTTTGTAGCCTTGCGGGCAGGTGCAAATATACTGCCCATTCAGGGGGTTGGTATCACAAAGTGCACCCTTGTGGCAAGGATTGCTGATGCAGGCATCATCCAGATGGCACAGGAGACCTGTCACAGGATGAGGCAAAGAGAACTAAGAGAAAATATTCCTCACTTGGGGAAGAGCTTTCTCTTTCACCAAAAAAGAAAAGCCTTTATGATCAGCTCCTTGAAATCCAACATGGAGATTTTAAGCAACTTCCTCTTTGCCTGGTCCTACCTTGGAGACATGCGGTAGGCATCAACCAAGAAGCTAGCTGCCTCAGACAGGCCTAGTGCTCTGACCCTGAGACTTCAGCCAGGCCTCTCCTCTAGGGCAGAGACATCTACAGGCCAGAAAATAAGAAGAGGGAGACAGGAAAATGGAGGTATCCTACGGAGAGTGTGCCAGATTTAGTAAAAAAGAAGATACCCAGATACAAACAAGAGAAACAAGAAATAATGTTTTAGCATAAGTCTGTCTCAAACATTCTATGCATCCTGTATTTTATCTGGCATCCTATTTCCCCCAAATTATGCTACCTAATTATCATGGGGTCACCAACATTTCACTAGTCTTTGAAGAAAAAAGCAACCGAATATCATCGACCTTTACTAGAGCAGCCTTTTAATAGCATCAACATTCCTGGCTCAGGTGCCCCCAGATCTCTGGTTAAGCTGGGCTTCCTGCTTTTGTGTAGTTCACATGGGAACTGGATTTTCCAGTCTGCAATTAACTTGAGAGCAAGTTACTAAGGCTTCTTTTACAAAGCTAGAGGTGGGGCTTTTGGAGCGGCACTGATACGTGAACATTTCAAAACTGCTGGGCGTAAAGTTCTCCCAGCTAAACTATCTTATCCCATCATCTTCCTTCCTACGCTGCTCTCCTACTCCTAGAACTAGTAGTAGGTGACTATTAAGCTGAGAGGTTAGAGCAATGTTAACTTTGTAGTCCATAAAAATATTCCCTTACAGGAATATTTTCATAGACATCGAAGGCTGAAAGGCACTTGAATGCTTCTCTTCTGCCAACTCCTTCTGAGAAGACGGGTTATTTCTTCCTAAAATGAAGCCTACGAGTCAATTTGTTAGTCATTTTGCCTTAATATCTGAGGTGCTTTTCAGTCTCAGATCTTAAGGATTTCAGCAGATGCTTCAAAGATAGTAGTTACTAACAGTAGTATTTCCTTATTTGGAGTGAAAACCTGAAGTTCACAGAGTTGAGACGAGAGCCAAAGTCCTAAGGAAGAAGCCTAACTGCATAGCACTTTGGCTGGCAGATTACATTTCCCGAAGAGTCCTGAGCAATCTACTCCTACAGATGGTCACCCAAAGGACCCAGCTCCTGGGACGAAAGAGAGGCAGAGTTCTGGATGCTCCCCGCCTCTTCCTTACTCTCCAGCCGCCTTTACCTGCCTTCCCCTCTGGACACAAGCAGGAGAAAGAGGCCACGCGGTCGACGCAAGTGGAGCCCGGAGTGCAGGAGGCAAAGGCACAGTCATCGATGTTCTCGCTGCAGTCGTCTCCACTCCAGCCGTTAACACACACACAGCCGTAGCCGCCATTGCGGTTGGTACAGGTACCCCCATTCTGACAGGCGTTGGGCTGCAGCAGGCACTCGTCCACATCCTCTGTGCAGAACTGTCCTTTGGGGAGAAGAGTACCTTTGAGTAGGGCTCTGGAGTCTCAGAGTCTGAGTTCCACACCAGCCCCCATACATGCTTCCCCTTCATGTGCCCTACCTGATATGAAGGCGAGTAGAGCTCACGATAGGCCAGGCCTTCACATGAATCGTGAAGGCCACCTTGAGCCATGGAAATGATGTTTGTTCTAGGCAAGCATTTCCACAAGAATAGAAATTGCCAGCCCTAGAAACTCTGACAACATGAGAATTTAGCCAACCTATTAAAGAGAAGGTAAGACCTGTAGGATCCTTGACTCAGCTAAATCCCTGGGTCAATGAATACATAGGTAACGAAAGCAAGGAGAAAAGAGTCTAAGTGATGAATAAGACAAAAATAATGAGAAGGAAGCTGTATGTCAAAACATTAGGGGAACTGCTCTGTATCTTGACTGAATCAATGTTAAAATCTGGGTTGTGACACAACAGTTCTGTAAGACAATATTCCCACTGGGAGACACTTGGCCAAGGGTACAGGGTATCTCTCTCTCATTCTTTTTTCATTCTATTTGGTCATTTTATTAGTTTATCCCAGCTGAAAAAAGTCCAATACCTAAGATCTCTCTATTAATTCTTATAACTGAAACTACAATTATCTCAAAATAAAAAATCTAATTTAAAAAAAATGTTTGGGCAAGCAAAGATAGAGAGAAGCAATTAAGGACAATGAAATGCCATATTCAGCCTGAGGCACGCAAGCTTAAAGGATATGGATGGAAGAAGATACAGAAATTCCACCTGGTATAACAGGAAACTAAGAGGAATCAGAAAAGGATCGGGCTGGTTTATTCTGCCTGAAAGAGAGCACGCTGCAGGATGCGATGCACGGCACCACCTATGGCGAGGTTGCAGGCCACTACTATGGCAACCCTGCAGCACACGGCAAAGACTCTCGGGCCTGGTAACAAGGATCAAGAGTCCGTCTTCATCTTCAACTTACAGTCAAGGAGTTTGTGATCAACAAAAACAGTTTAGTGCCAGGTCGCATGAGCTATAAAACAAACTGATGAATTGGTCTTGTTTGAAGTCTTTTAAAACCAGTTTAGAGAGCTATCAAAGGGAACTAGAATTTGGTCATCTGAATTCTCTAAAATAGGACAAGTTGCTGAAACTAAAAAAATGTCAAGGTGTTTTTCATTCCTCCTTTGTAAATGAAACTCAATAACTAATTTAAAAAGGCATTCTGATGAAGCGGCCTCAATGAAAAAGCACGTACTATTTGTTCTTAGAAAACGCCAAGGCTATCTCTAGTCCCCAGAATGCCTAACAGTTCAACCGGGTCATGTATCTGTAGAAGGCCTATAAAGTGCCAGGCTGTGTAACCATCACTGCTGGCAGATGCTAGTTGTGTATGACCCAACCTAACCACCTACTCTCTAGTAGCATGCAACTCTATCCCTACAGAACCAATGTCACTCTATCATCGCACACTACTTGGCTGTGAAAAGCCTTAGTTTACTACAGAACCTCCAATATAGAATAACAGTTCTATAAAAACCAACGTCACATCCATCTCATACTACTTGGCTGCAAGCAGCTTTAGTTTAGGGTTTTTATAAAATGTATTCCCAGCAAAGAGCCCACTGCCTTGGATAGCAGAATGGGTATGTGGATGTCTCTGGAACTCTGTCATCTGATTACTTAAGGAGACACCATATCTTTATGTGATCACACCCTCCTGGCCATAGCTGATTGATGCAGGATGGTCATCTGATCCAAGCTACATCACTGTGTCTCTTTCTCAATTATTGGACTATGAACACATGACCAAAAAAACGAGGAGGCCTGTCTGCAGAGAGAGGGTAAGAATGAATCAGAAGCACACAGAGAGAAACGTAAAACCATAGTGGCATTCAAGTTGTTCATTCCAGAGGATCCTGAAACTCAGTGGCTCCTGAGCCCACTCTGCAGCACAGCCCTTATGAGACATGCCTCTTGCAAGAGGTTTTCCTGATTTGAGACGAGATCCTGTCAGCTGCAAACCAAAGTGTCAGCCAATACAGAGTAAATGGGTGAGGGATGCGGGAGCCAATGAGAGAGGTAATAAGGGAGAGAAGACGGGAGGAAGGGGAGGAACAAGAGACTGAGCACACTCAAAACAAGAGGTGGAACAAGTGAGGGATGAGGGAGTGAGTATGTGAGGAAGTTAATGGAATGAGTGAGGTAAGCAGTGACGGAGTGGGAGAAAGAGTGACCGCAGAAGGGAGTAAGTGAATGAGCGAGTGAGAGAATGAGGGAGGGAGTGAACTCATCGGCAAGCTTCTTCCCCAGGCCAGATGATGCCATTTATTATAGGAAACTTTGCTCCCGTGGAGTACTAGCAGAAATGCTACCTCAAAGTAATGACAACGGTGCCATTAGGATGCAGGTGAGTTTGAGAGATGAAAACATGACCAAGAAGTAGGTGAAGAACTACTGCAACTTTAAAAATTGCTGAGTCTTATCTATTACACTTAAGCTAACTCAAAGATCTATGCTGCCCGACATCCAACCTAATTGCTGAATGTGAGCAATTTAGATGTTATTCTTCTTTCATGAGGCTTTGTAATGATGCTGAGGACTATAAAACACTGTGTGTTAAAAATACTTTATACCTTTTTGCGCACTAGGATAACGATGGAGTAAGACAGACTAGGTAAATAAAATTGTGCTTGGATGAAAACGTGGTACTTCTAGGAAAGGAAACCAGTAGCCATCGACTCTGCCTACTGTGAAGCAGGGACTGTGATGGAGGTCGTCCTAAAATTCACCTCATTTTCAGGTGAGAGCACAGGCTTAGAGAGGTAACGTGACTTGCCCATGTGAGGCAGTGATGGCAGGAGAGCTGGGATTTGAGCCTGACTCTAAAATTCTTAACAAAGGCTTGAGGTGTGAACCAGACCATATCAAGCCCTCTCTGCAAGTCTCCAGTTTCCCAAGGGTAGATGGGCATGAGGGATTGGAGAGGGTGGCGGAGGTAAAGGATGAAAAGCCCGACTCAGATGATGACTGAAAAAACTTACGTCTGCAAACTTTTGCTCAAAATGGAAACATACTTTTGAGTACAGTTTACTATTTTTGAAAGAGACCGATATTTGAAGATTAGATTCCTTCACTGAGCACCTTAGAACCATGTCTCTTTTAGTGCTTGTTAGAGACAGGAAGTCTAGAGGCCCAAGAGCATACTGGCTTATAGGGCATGATGGATTACCCTTCTCCAAGGCTCAGGCACACTTCTCCAGAACATTTCCTCCCGGTTTCATTTCTGCCAGAAATGTTTCTCTTCTTATTACAATCCTATCAACTAGTTCTGCCATTCAGAATAAGGAAACCAGTAACCAGGGTGGATACCACAATGGCCTGTTCCAAAGCTCCCAGTAGAACATCTGCTAAGATACTGCGCTTCATTAATGTCCCCACTCTCCTGGCATGGAGAAAACCAATGCAGAGGCTGAAAATTAAGAAATTTCAGACTCAGAAAAGTAAATAACACCCCCAAGTTCACAAAGCTTGTGGGTGAGGCACGGTCATTCAAACCTGGATCAGTTCAACTGTAACCCTAACGTTCTTTGACTACAGCACAGTGGAGTACCTGGCCCTGGACCTGATCGACCTGATCTACAGACTAGGTCTCTGATCCCAGGGTCTTAGGGGACCTTGAGAAGGCATCAGCCCGGGCTGGAGGGAGGGGCTCCCTGAGAGGCAGGGTTAGTCCTTCGAGATGTCACAATATCTGCAGTTTATTCTTTTGCTGGGGTTTTAAAAAAGAAGAGGTTGGAGGTCATTGAGGCTTTGAGTTGGAACGGGAATGCTGAACTTGGTACAACAGCCAAGGAGACCGGGGAAAGACAGGATCGACACTGTGTTTCAAGACTAGCCGGCAGGCAGAACCCAAGAGGGACTGAGCACAAACGGCTTTCTGATGGCGGAAAGAGGACGAGAGAGCACTAAGTCATGAGCTGCCTGGCAAACAAAAGCCTCTGGCGAAAAGGGAGAGCTGCGCTGCCTCCGTGCCCTACCCAGCTACGAAATCTTCAGACAAGTCTTAGCAGGTGTCATCACCTGTGTCGACACACAACCTTTCCTCGTGAACGCCTACAACCTTGCACAGAGCTCAGTTAGGCAAGTTTCTGAGGGCAGTAATTATCCCTCTTGGTGCTTTCTGCCGGCCCCAGATAGTGCAGGCTACTGCCATGGAGCATCAGGGCTGAGGCAGGGGCTAGCCAGGCCCTTGCCTCTCCCATGGACAAGGGAGAAAGGAAAGAACTTGTTTTTTAAAACGACACCCCCTGATGCCACCACGAGTCCGGATTAATCTGAATTGAAATGTCAAGCTGCCGAGTAATGGCGGGTTCCTTAAACACTGAAAGCCACCCGGAGCTACTGACAACGCCGTGGCTGATCACGTCTGCCTCCAAGCCACGCCCTACTTCATCCGCGCGACTGGCCACAGTGACATCCTGCTGCGACCGCCAGTTCTTCCCGTCTCCGGGCCTGCGCCCAGCTGCTCTCGCCGCCTGAGACTCTCTCGGCCTCCGAGGCGCACCTCGGCCCACGGCTCTCCACCCTCGCATCCGGCCCGCGCCACCCTCCCGCCGGCGCATCGGCCCTGCGCCTCGCGGTGCCGCCGGCCACTCGCTGGACACCCGGGCCGGGCCAGGACAGGCCTCGAGCGCAGCTCCTCCTGCAGGCGAGGCGCTGGGCCCGGAAAGGCACAAGGGCTTGTCCGAGCACGCACAGCCAGGTGGCCGGACCGTGGGGAGGGGCGACGTCACGCGCCGGGAAGGGGGCGGCGTGGCCGCCGC